TGTTTGTCTGTGTATTTATACCCCTGTGTTTCAGTTGTTGGCTGTCGGTTGTTGTTTAATGTCACTCGGTTCCTGCCGGTTTCTCTGCCCTGTTCTGAGGTCCCTGGATTATCTGTTAGTGGGATTAATAAATGCTTGCGATTGGATTTGCTTTCTGTCTCGTTCCTGACCCTATGTGACAGAACAACCGACCGCAAATGAATCCAGCAGCACAAATCCGGGAGTTTGCTGGTCAGATCGCGGCCTTGGCCCGTGCAGGGGAACGGGACCAGGAGGTAGCCAAGATGAGCCTGGGCCGCAGAGCGTGGGCGGAGCAGGACCAGGCGAAGGCCAGGGCGGAGCAGGACCAGGCGAAGGCCAGGGCGGAGCAGGACCAGGCGAAGGCCAGGGTGGAGCAGGACCAGGCGAAGGCCAGGGCGGAGCAGGACCAGGCGAAGGCCAGGGCGGAGCAGGACCAGGCGAAGGACAGGGCGGAGCAGGACCAGGCAAAGGCCAGGGCGGAGACCCTCGGGCGTCCACAACAGTGAAGGTCCCTCAGACGGCCACGGCGGTGAAGCCCCCTCGGGAGACCACGGCGGTGAAGACCCCTCGGGCGGCCACGGCGGTGAAGACCCCTCGGGCGGCCACGGCGGTGAAGACCCCTCGGGCGGCCACGGCGGAGCAGGATGAGATAAAGGCCATGTCTGTATAGCCTCCATGGCCCTCACCAGGTACCTACTGCCCCCCCCCAAAAAATACTTGGAGAAGTCCATAGGGAGTTGAAGGGCACAGCTTGAACAGAGCTTGAAGGACACCGGCAGGGCGAGGCGCGGAGGCGGGGCCGGCAGGGCGAGGCGCAGAGGCGGGGCCGGCAGGGCGAGGCGCAGAGGCGGGGCCGGCAGGGCGAGGCGCAGAGGCGGGGCCGGAAGAGCGAGGCGCAGAGGCGGGGCCGGCAGGGTGAGGCATCCTGGTATGCTCACCGAAGCCTGGCGAACCGAACGAGCCCTCCTTTTCCTCCTGCGGCGGCGTTTCACTTGAACTGAAGACTTAATCACATGAACTGAAGACTCATCGTGACTCACTTGAACCGGATACTCAGCGCTCACTTGAACTGGAGACTCACTCACTTGAACTGGAGATTCAGCACTCACTGGAGATTCGCTCACTTGACTCGATTTGGACCTGGACACACTTGACTCACTTGCTTTGGACCTGGACACACTTGACACACTTGACTCCCTTGACTCGGCCGTTGACTCACTTGACTCGGCCGTTGACTCACTTGACTCACTCACAGGGCTGACGTGAATCGTGTGCTCGGCTGAGCTGACGTGAAACAGCGGTGCGGGCTCAGCGGGCCTGATGGTCGTGATAACATCCCTCTCTACCTCTCCAACAGTGAAGGGAGATCCACAAAACTGCAGGACAAAATCAATGAACTGCTCCAGGGTCCAACTGGGGTCCTCCTCTGGTAAATTTAAACCAATGTCCAGATCCAGACCACTCCAGAAACAGTCCTTCAATGCATCTTCTCCACCCGGAACGAGATGGCTATACAAAAGGAATTCCTCCACATAATCCTCGATGCAGCGATTGTTCTGATAAAGAGAGCAAAGTTTGCTCAGTGAGCTCTGGCTACTACCTGCTGGATCCATGTAGTTGGTGAGTTGTTCTGTGATGCCGGTGCCGTGATGTGGCAGAAACACAGGAAGGAGGCTGGATCCAAACGCAGTGTAGAGGCTTTATTTAGACAAACTACATATTTAAACAAAGACTCAGGAACAGGGCTCAGGAACAGGACTCAGATACGGGAGTGACACACAACGACCTCACACGTACAACAACTCACAAACTAAGACAAAAACACAGGGCTTAAATAATCAGACAAGCAAACTTAACAAGGTAACAAGGGGGCGTGGACAATAGGAAACACCTGGAAAACTCAATAGACAGGGAACCACTAATAATACAAAGACAAAGACACAAAACCACATCATAACAATATTGAAACTCAATTCCACATGAGAGTCATAAAATATGAGCTTATATGTTGTTTTTCATTGATAATGTTCAGTGCACATACATACCGTTGTTTAATGATACTATCTATCTCTATACCATTGAGGTGAGCTTTTATCGTTCTCACCAGTTCTTGGATTTAAATAATACATGAAATTTGGATTTGGAGTAAAAAAAAATAGCAGGAAACTATGAAATTATGTATTTTTTCTAACTACATAAATAAAAACCGATATTAGCTGTTCCAAACACTAGTGATCTACCTATAGAGGCTGTATTTTGGGGCATCATAGGCGCGCTTACAACACATGGCTTTTCCAAAAGATAAGCATCTTAATTATGCATCTTCCTTAGCTAAGTGCATTGTTTTAGTCAAATTTTAAAGCAGCATGGCATATATCCTTTGTGCACAGGATAATACCAAAATGGATTATGACAAGCTTGGTCAAATATAATAACAACAATATAGTATAATCAAATCTATAAAAAAACAAAAACAAAACATTCTGTTTAAAAAAAAAAAAAATGTGTGTAATTATTTATCCAAAATTGTTGTGTGATGCATTTATACTTTTAAAGCTACAGGTCTATTGTTGCCTTTGTGATGCATCACTTTAGAGGACACCTACAGTTTTAGGATGTTGCCTATGACGGGAGTAGGTAGATTCTGTCTCTCTTTTATGGGGGTTGTACAATGTTAATAAGAAAATAAACAAATGAATTTATTTTGATGTAATTTATTTGGTCTTATGATCTCTATCTCCTTAAGTCTTTTTCACTGATTATTGTTTACGTAAGGAATAGTTGACGACATGCCGTTGAATTATTAGAAAAATAATGTACACCCGAGGTGGTAATGCGGTCACGACGCGAAGTGTTACACCTCGGGTGTGCATTATTTTTTGAATAATTCAATGGCCTGAAGTCAATTATTCCGCTTATACTACAGTTACCATACCTCAAAACATTGTTCAGATGATGCATTTCAAGACGTTTGTATGTAGGACTAATTTCTTACGCATCTAATCCCATGCCTCCATTGCTAATTCCAAAACGTCATTTTAGAGGTAGTAACGGAGGTTTGAGCCACTGATAGCACACTAATGTAATGATATTGGAACACTTACGACTCGCTGAAATATTCGAAGACCGACTGTTTCTATCGACTGTAGCAGCAGGTCTTGTCTTAAACACCAACTGTGAACACGTGTTTGCATGATCAGTCATAAGTATCAAATTACATTCATATCTGGCCTTAGTAGGCCTTAGTGTGTCCTGGCTTTATGCAGTTATTAATGCAGTTATTAGAGAGAGGAAAAGAGAGAGAGATGTTGAAATAATGAGACAGAAAAGCATGTGCGTCAATAGTATTATTTCTTTATTAATTAAATTTGTTTTAATTAATTCGTTCATTCTTGTTTTCTATAATTGACAGTAGTTTACCCAATAACTGAAACACAAAAAGCCATTTTAACAAGTAGGCCTATCAATAATTATTTAATCCGTGCAGCAGGATTATTCATTTATTTATATAGCCTATTCAGTTTAATTTTCTATTATAGATAGGACTACATAATTTATTTATTAAAAATGAACTGTATATGTCCATTGATTGTGAAGTTAGACATCGAAAATTGCAGATCAAGTGCATGGGGCTGCATGTTTTTTCTTGTTATGAATTGTATCCTATTTTCCGTTATTACAGTTAACTGCGCGCAGTGATATGGAACTGTAATGTGGTCAAACCTGCCTGAAACTACTTTAGCCGTCAAGTCAAGTCAAGTCACATTTATTTATATAGCGCTTTTCACAATACAGATTGTATCAAAGCAGCTTCACACTGATAACATGAAAGTAGCACAACACAACATTGATCAACACACAAGATCAACAACATTGCTAAACACTAAATAATCCCAACTGAGCAAGCTCAAAGCAAGCCAAAAGCAAGGCGACAGTGGCAAGGAACCAAACTCCATCAGATTGGATGGAGAAAAAACCTTGGGAGAACCCAGGCTCAGTCGGGGGCCAGTTCTCCTCTGGCTTACATTCATATTGTTTAAATATAAATATTAAATATAAATATTGTTTATGAATAAAACGGCGCCATAACATATCGCAGGCGTTGAGTCGTCTCTTCACAGGCGTTGAGTCATCTCATCACAGGCGTTGGGGCATCCGAAATCCCCGTGAGAGGCTTTACACAAAACTGGACCTGACGAACGCCATTTCGTGCGTTTCCCTAAAAAAAAAATTGCACACATTTAAAACGTTCTCAACCAATCAGAGTCAAGCATTCAACAGCCCTGTAGTATAATTTTCAATAATCCACATCATATCGGTTTATCTTTTTAAATTAATGAATCTGAGGGACACAAACACAAGCATTTTAAAGTTTGATCTGCTGCCCAAAATACACAATCACTTTATTTCAGTCTACTCAGTCATGATGAATCTGTCTCTCTTTCAGTTCTCTGCAGGCTTTAGCATAAAAATCAGATTAGACCATCTCTCCAGATGGTGATGATGAGAGGATGGGATTGTTAACTAATATTTTGATGAAGCAAATAAGTCAACTTTCTGGGTTTTTGTAGACAGCATTGTTTTGGATTTTTACCACATTAGGTTGCGATTAGAATTATGAGGAGTTTTGCTGATGCTATTTTCTCTAGGATTGCAGGTAAAACATGCATATATTATCTATATTTGCATGCATTAACTGTTTTGTATTTTACTTGCAGTCCTGCAAGGCCACCAGAAATAAATTTTGTTTCAGTGCTTAGCTATCAAACCTTGAAATGGGAGTCACCGCTGGTAGATGGGATTTTTGTTGCTTTTAAAGAATAGCAAATTTCACACCACAGGCCCTAATTTAATGATCTAAGCACATGGTCTTAAGTACAGGGCGCAAGTGAACTTAGGAATTGAATCAGGACCAGGATGCACAATTTCATACTACATTGTTATAATACATCTGCATTCTACACTGCTTTTCACATCAGGCCACCATGAATGCTCGCACACAGAGGATTCTGGACTCAGGATCTCTGACCCAATCAGCGCCTGCCAGCCCCACCAGCAAAGGAACACTTATACATCAAGCAGGGTGAGTTACTCACACTTAAATATTTATTAGATTCATTTAAAATCAGCAGCAGGACCATATAGCCATCTGGAATGATTCTTTTTAAATTAACAGATGAAAAAGCAGAATGTAATAGCTTGTGCTTCTGTTATTTTACTCTTCTTTGCATCTATTAAATAACATCCTGTTCTTTTTGGGTTATGTTCATCAGCACTGGATATTAATTTTGTTTTAACATGCAGCATTGCAGTGCATGCTGATCCTCTTCTGTTGCAGCACATTAATTTGTGTGTTATGGCCCTACTTGTTGGTGTTGTAGTGCTTCCCACAGATCCAAACGCTCTTCATCTCCCTCCAGCGGATCTCCTCCCATGCCCGGTGCCTCCAGCTCCAGCCTCACCAATGAAGTGCCCAAACCGCCGGTCCGGGAGGCGCCGCCTGCTCGGCCACCATACACACCGACTCTGGGTGGTCAGGCGCCCCACTCACAGCAGTTCCCACGCACCAGAAAGATGTTTGACAAGGGCCCTGATCAGGTACATCATTGATTTTAGTTTCCCACTGATATTCCTCCATCAGATCTTGTTCATTTGTCAGAAAACTGTATTTTGCAGTCATTGTGCTTTTCTTATTTTGTGGCAGTCTTTGCTTGTGGTTTAGACCAATAGTATTGTCATTTGTCCGGTGTGGTCTTCAGGCTTCTGAGGATGGAGATGAGACAGCTGCTCACAGGAGCTTCATCAGTGTGAATCTGCAGACAGGTCTTTGTGACTGGAGTGCCAAATATTTCGCTCAGCCAGTCATGAAGGTGAGTGCTGCATGGTTTAGAGGTGAAATCGAATTCATTTACTTCTAAATTAAACTAATTCAGTTAATGAATTGACTTGAACTCATTACTATTCAGGTTGATTTAAACATGTTGTTTTCGCAAATAAACTTCAAATAATATTAGTAAAAGAGTTGGAACTCACTTGTAATAAAAACAATTTTGCGATGTTATTTTGGGGAGGAGAAGGGGTAGGAATCCATGTATGTGCAATCTTGCAGGGGGGCGGGGGGGGTAACGTGGTCAATATTTAACTAGTAAAATGTGTCTATACTATCTATTATACTACCTTTTCTACTTTGAATTGTGTATATGTATTTCCATATAGCCAGAACACAAAATATAATCATTCTACCATGTTATTTGGGCATGTACCATGTAATACCATGGTGTATAAAACTGTTAGTCATTCAGGACTCTGGTATTATCATCTAATTACCACCACTGCAACACATCACCGCCACAGTAAGGTGATTTGTTTGGGGTTTTTTTTCATTGTCTTCTGTAATTGTCATTTACGACTGAAAATATTTGTGAAAATGCGTGTGGGTTTTGTGTCCTGTCCTGATGCATTATAATGCATTCCCATCAGTATGTGATCAGTGAGGAACACACACACCCTATGGCACAGTGCTGAGAGTAATACCTTATGTTTACTGCAAGGGAACAAGACACGTAATAATCAATAGTGTGTGGGAGACAAAACAGCATAAAACATCAATAAAGTAGCATACACCATGTTGCTGATAGGACTTTGTTGATAGGTTCTCACTCTTAAGCCGCTTTCCGACCAAGTAGTTACAGGAACTTAGTTATAGGAACTGTCCACTTCTAAACAGTTCTAAGAACTACTCTCCCCCAAACTCGGTTTTGCTGCTTGCGTTCGCACTGGCCAAGTGGCTATAGGAACTGGTAGGAGGGGTAACGCAAGCACGGCGACGGTCTTTATAGCGTCATCACTAGACGTAGCGCGGCCACATACAACAACAACAAACCAGCATGGAGGAGGCTATTGCAATGTTCCTGTTCTGCCTAGAGGTGTGCGATACCGCTAGATTTGGTATCGATCCGATACCAAGTAAATACAGGGCCAGTATCGCCAGTACCAATACCGATACTTTTTAATAATTAAGGTGGATGCCTCTTCAACCTAAATCTAAATTAATTTTCATGACTTTTGTTTTTGTGATTTGCATTTTGGGTTATTAATCAGTTAAAATCTGTACTACAAAAGCTTTTGTTCAGAAACAACTTTTGGTTAGTTCTAAAACAAAGTTACAAAATTATTACTTCACAAATATAAAAAATGTAAAAACAAATTCTCTTTTCAAGTAGCATGTTTACAAAAAATGTTTCTCTTCTTTAGTGCACTTCTTTTGAGGATTTTTTTCTTAAATAAACAAAGACACAAGTTCTCCGTCTCTGATTGTGCTGCTGTAGACTAGAAATGCGCGGCCGTGCGCGCCTGACTGGTGGTAGTCCTGGAGCGCGCTAGTGGTGAGTCACGTGACGGTACAACACAGGAGAGGGGGACGAGAGCAGCACTAGGATTACAGAGAGCTTGCTCTGCTCTGTGACAGCAGCAGCATTTTGACAAACACGGTCAGGTCGCAAAACGAGAGAAACTGAAACTTAAGTATCGATATTTTCACGTTGGTATCGATCAATACCGATACCAACGTTGGTATCGATATTATCAATATTAGTATCGATCTGCCCACCTCGCCTTGCCGGGACCATGTTTTTCCTGGGGGGCGCCAAAGAGCGACAGGGGAGGCACGAAGCGGTTTATAATACGCGACTTTGTTTGTTTTTTTGTTTTTTAAGTGACGTTAAAACAGCACGGGTTGCGTTTTTGGGGGCTTATTAAAAAAAAGGTTGTTTGTTAGGAAAATCTGACAAGCAACTTTGTTTTCTTTACATGACGGTAGCCGTTTTCTCAATGTCCAATACATTGACACTGTCTGACAGTGTACTTTTGCGTCCATTTCTTTTCCCTTTTTTACCTCCTAATTGAATAACGAAAAACATGCTTTCTTTATTCGTTTTTAGACTGGTGAAACGATAGCTATTCACAAACTTTTTTTTATTTTCTTTATATACAAGGCTTAGATATTTAACTTCACATAGGCCTATAAAGAAAGCCTAAAACAAAAACATTTCATAAACAGTAAAATGTTAAGTTACCTCGGCTGTCCTTACCTACTCTAAGGGGAGGCTCACATTCACCCAATTTGAAAACCCCTGCTCTAGACTAAATATTGAAATAGTTATAGGAACTACGGTCTGAGGAACTAAAAAATTCCCAATTTAGTCCGGTCGTAACACGAGAAAAAAAGGGTTAAAAAAGGGGGAAAAAAGGTTCTAGGAACTGCAAAAGTCCCTCCAGTCGGAAAGCGGCTTTAGTGTGTGCTGATGGGGGAAGACGCTGGAAAAAGGATTGGTCAATGTGCTAGAGAGGTCAACTTGATTTTCACCAGCCTTTTTTTTATTTTTTATTTTTAAACAGTATATAGATTTAACTGGGATGTTAATTTTTTCAACACATGCATTGACGACTTCTATAGCATTTTTTGATTTGAGCCCAACCAATCAGGAGAAATGCATTGACGACTTCTATAGCAATTGTGCAAAATTGGACCAAGAATATACGCTAAACCATGATCCGGCTTGCATTTCCACCGCCAACAGTACCGTTACTTCATAGGCGTGGTGTTTACCGGCCTGAAAGAATCGACCAATGTCATTTTCGCGCTAAGAAAGTGACATAGTAAACAACAATGGATGACATAAAGCAGTTCTTGCTTCTCGGCATGTTTGTCACAAGAAACAAGCACTGGTATTAGGCGTTCCTCAATACCAAGTAGCCTATGCAAAGTCCGACTCAGGAGAATGATTCCCGAGGATGCGAGTCCAGTAATTCTGCTAATGGAACAGCGCGTTCTTGAATGAGCCACTCAGCTCGCTCTGCTACTCCAGTTATCTCTGTATGTTGGCATTTTAATCAACAATAAAACAAAATATGTTATAAAACACCACTCTGCTTCTTTTCGATATAATTTAAATACATTTTAAACATTATAAGCTTACAAATGTGGTTCAGGCAACGCATAGCCTATTGATTATATTCACTGAATGTATGTACGGTATACAGACTATTTATAACAAAACTAAATATAAACACAACCCTGCCTCTTTTCGTTTAAATTTAAAAATATCAAAAATATTCCAGCCAATATGAAATGTATTGCATTATGCATATTGCATTGGTACAAATGTTGCAATAAACAACATTACAGATGATCTTTGTTGAATTCCAGTTTTATCAATAATAGCCATTATAAAAGTATAAGAGTTACAAAAGTACAAAGATACAAAAAGCTATACAGTAAAGCTTTAATAACATAAAGCAAACAAAGTCAAATATACAAATTCAGCGCTCAAATATATATAACTTCACTTCGCCTTCTGCCAAAACTATTGGCCAGGGAACTAATTATAGATTCATGAGACCAAAGATTGTCCTGTTAGGTCTATGCAAGAAGAATTGTATTTCATGTTTAACCACTACAGAGACGTCAGAGTCAGCGGCAAACATCAGATTGACTAGCCCGAGGAAAGGCTGTTCCAGGCGGGGTGCACGAGCACAGAGTGCCGAGCGTCCGGTGATTGCTTGGAACGGATCTCAGTCAAATCATCACAAATCTATAAATAAACCACAGATTTGAGCTTTAAAAAACTGCATTCTCGCCTGAAAAACTCTTAAAACTACACTTCGTGACACAATAACAGTAGTATTATATTTCAACTGAAAAAAAAGGCACTTCTAATGCCCTTGTAGCACGCGCAAGTGACGATACTCTGTCAACCAATCACCATTCTGCAGTGAGTCTAGCTCCACCTTTTAGTACCGTACCACTGTGCTAGGTACCCCAACGGAAGGGTACCCAAAAAGTGGTACGGTACGATTCGGCTTTTTGGTACCATTCACAACTTTTGACAGTGGAAATGCAAATAATTGCTTACCGTACCGAACTGTACTGTACCGTACCACTCAGTGGAAACAAGCCATTATAGTCGCGTACATACACAAATATTCTCATATTCAAAGCCATACTTTCATGCAGCTTAGAGTAATATATTTTCTTGGTGGTGGTTATAAATATGCAAATACATATTCCTATTACACATTTACCTCCCTTCTCTGTGTTTTTAAATATTCATAGTCAATTTTATCCTCTGTTTTTCAAAAGTATCATCTTGTAGTCTCAACTTGAATAACAGTCTTTCCATTTTATAAATGTTTGTAACAGTTTTTAATATACCAATCTGGTATTACTAAGATATATAATATAATCTGTTTCCCCAATCTCATAATCTGTTTCCCCAATCTCAAAGATTTTCTGTATACTTCAATGTATTTCTGACCAATACAGTTTTAAAACACACTTCCTTAAGCAGGAGCCTAGATTTACTACTCCTTTTTGTTTATCTTTCACTTTCGGCGTAATAAAGAAACGTATAGTTTTTTTTTCCCAACAAAATTCCCTTAAAACCCTGGAAAGACTAGTCATGCTCTGTGAATGCCATCAATTTAACCATTCTTCATCTGGGATGTAAATCTGCATTTCCTTTTTCCACCAAATCGTGTCGGAGCATTCGTTGACCACAGGGGTTAATATACTTAGTTGAGTGACCTTTAATCTAAAAGGGATTTAATTTGTGACAACTTTACATCATCCCTCTTATTACATCGTTACTGCAGTGTAGTACAGTGAAGACATATTTTGTTGGCCAAAACCTATAAACAAGTTACCATTTTAGCAGTTCCTGTTCCATTGTCCTGAAGTCAATGGTTCTTTTAAATGGGTTTTTGGTTAAATGCATGAAATATGGTCTAAAGTTATTTGTACGTGTTATTCTACAATTTAAAATACATCATACCCTTTTGTGGAAAAAAAAAAGAAAAAAAAAATCTTTTT